AAATCCAGACAGGCCAAATCCCGTTTTTAGGCTGATTTATCCCGTTTTTATCCGGCTTAGGTGGGAACAGCCAAGGCCAATTCCCCTCTTTGGAGTCAATATTCCATCAAAAAGCGGGAATCTGGCGCGGCCGAGAAGTGATTTGGGACCATTTTATCCTCAAATCCAGACAGGCCAAATCCCGTTTTTAGACTGATTTATCCCATTTTTATCCGGCTTAGGTGGGAACAACCAAGGCCAATTCCCGCCGCCTTTGGAGTCGATAGTCCGTCAAAAAGCGGGAATCTGGCGCGGCCGGAAATTGATTGGGAGCCATTTTATCCTCAGATCTGGGTGGGCTGAATCCCATTTTTAGGCTGATTTATCCCGTTTTTATCCGGCTTAGGTGGGATGGGAATTGTATAATTTGAGTTTAGGAATGACCAGGATTTATTTCTAGGAATAGTTTGAGGAGATTTTGGTGCTTTTTCCAAGTGAAAAGATGTCCAGAAGGTTAGTGGGAATTTTATCATGTAGGTTTAGGAATGACCAGGATTTCTAGGAATAGATTTGAGGGAATTTGGGTGCTTTTCCAAGAGAAAAGTTATCCAGGAAGTTTGATGGGAATTGTATCATTTGGGTTTAGCAATGACCAGGATTTCCAGGAATAGTCGGGAGGTATTTGGGTGTTTTTCCAGGAGAAAACTTTTCCAGAAGGTTGGTGGGAATTGTATCAGTTGGGTTTAAGAATGACCAGATTTTCTAGGAATGGCTCCGTGGGAATTGTATAATTTGGGTTTAAGGGTTGACCAGGATTTCAAGGAATGGTTTGATGGGAATGGTGTCATTTGGGTTTAGGAATGACCAGGATTGGGGCGGGAAAAGAGGGGATGGAATAAGTGGCTGGAAGTATTTGGAGGAGCTGGAGCAGTTCTGGTGCCTTTGGAATTAAAAATGAGCTGGAATTGAACATAAAAACAGGGAAAGAATAAACATTTTCCATGTTTTCTTGGGAGACAATGATAGTGTTTGAAGCTGGAAGCGACCTCGGGATGTTCCGGGATCATCGTGGATCCCCAGCCCTGGGGGGCTTTGATCCCTGGCTCAATCCACCCAGGAAATCCAGGGAAAACTGGGGTCTTTTTGGGAAGGGAAATCGGGATTTTCCACAGCGCCAGACATTCAACCCCTTGAGGGAGCAACAGCCCCCAGGATTTCCCTGGATTTTCATTCCCAAAAAAGTTGAGCCGGAGGAGAATTTGTGCGCCCACACTTTCAGGAATCCCTGGGCTGGAATTCCAGGAGGGTTTTAATCCGGCTCCACATTCCAAAGCCTCGGGAATCACTGACCTTCGAACTCTGGATCGCCGATAAAATCTTATGGAACAGGGAAAAACCTCCTTTAATTTGGGAATTTTGCAGCCGGAATTGGAGGAGTTCAAAACCAAGGAATTGTTTGAGCCCATCTTTGGAATTTTTAGGCCAAATTTTTATTCCAAATTTTTCACCTTATTTTTTTTTCCACCAGAAAGCTGCAAATTAAAACGAAATAAGCCTTTGAAATGTTGGCTGCCCGGCACCAACTAAAAATTCGGGATAAATTCGATTTATCCTGATAAATCTGGGATGCGTTTAATTTATCCCGATTTTCTTCGGATGGAACAAACCAAAGAGGATTTAGAAACGAGAGGGTGAAAAAAAATCCCTTTGGAAAGTAAAAATGTCCTCAAAAATAAAGAGCTTTTTGGGTCAATTTATGTTGAAACTGAGATATTTTTTTTCCCGTTTTATTTTCCCTGGAACAGCCGCTTTTATTTTGGGATAAAAAACTCCGGGTTTTTTTTGGTTTTTTTAGGGTTTGGCTCGTTTTGGCCTGAGCAGGATTTATGATATTTGGAAGCTCAGTCAACCTGCAGAAGTCAGGGAAAAATGTGAGTATTGTCCCTGCCCTTTTTCCTGGTTCCTTTTCCGTTTCCTCAGGGAATTTTCCAGGGGAAAAAACTGATTTTTAAATATTTTTTAAAATTCGTATCCGAGCTATTTTTGGCAACTTTGAAGATTTTCGGTTCCTAACACCGGGAATGCCAAAATTTTGGGATCGGTGTCTCGGATCCCTTCCCGGATTTCCACTTAGCTGGAAACTTATCCCAGGAAACCCTGAGTATGGGATGTTTTTCCCTGTTTTTCCTGATTTTTAGGTCATTTTTATTTTCCTTTAAGCTTCCCCTTCTTTTCTTTTGGGTTTTTTAAATCCTGCTTTTTTTTCCCTGGTAGATAAAATTTGGGATAAAAATCCAATGGGATTTATGCAGGATGGAAGAGGGATTTATGCCCTGAAGTCACACTAAAGCCTTTAATTAAAATTAGATTATTAGTAGTATATTATTAATATTATATATTATTATATAATATAATATTATTTAATATAATAAATGTGATATATAATTATGTGTTATAATTATATAATATAATAATATAAAATTCATATAATAATTCTATAATATAATATTATTAATTAATATTATTCTTAATATTATTTATATTAATAATAGTAATTATAAATTTATATAATTAGACTATTAATATATAATTAATTTATAATATAATTTTAACATATGATAGACGACATATATTTATTGTTTATAGTTATAATTAGAAATATTAATAGTATATGGTTCTATATATTGATAATTGATATATTAAAATATTTTATATGTTAATATAATATAAATAGTTATTAATATTAATATCATATATTGTTATTATATATTAAAATATATTTAAGTATATTAATAAATACTTAATATATTATCAATCTATTATTAAGATATATTGATATATTATTAATAATGCAACTGAAACAAATACATATTATTATTCAAATTTAATTAAAATAAAAATAAACTCGTATAAATAATATACTCTTTATATTACATTATATTTATTTTATAATACATATATAATATGCACATATAATATAAACGTTATAGTATTATATTATTGTATATGACACATACATAGTATATATAATAATGTATTGTAATATGATAATATATTTATATATAATAATACAATGTATTAATACTATTGTAAGAATTAGAATACTTATTTTAATTAAATTTTAATTCTAATTTAATATAAATGAAGTAAACTATATAATATAATAATGAATAAATAATAATAATGAATAATGATAGATAATAAATAATAATTATATAATGTAATAAAACTTATTATAATTAAATTTTAATTCTAATTTAACATAAATGAAATAAATTATATAATATAATCATAAATAAATAATAATAATAATAATAAATAAGGATAAATAGTACTAAATAATAATATAAACTATATAATGTAATAATACTTGTTATAATTAAATTTTAATTCTGAATTAATATAAATAAACTAAACTATTTAATATAAGAATAATAAAGAATAATAAAGAATAATAATAAAATAAACTATATAATATAATAATACTTACTATAACTAAATTTTCATTCTAATTTAATATAAATAAACTAAACCATATAATTATAAATAAATAATAATAATGAATAATATAATAGTAATAAATAATAATACAACTATATAATGTAATAATAGTTATTGAAATTAAATTTTAATTCTAATGTAATATAAATAAACTAAGCTATATAATATAATAATGAATAATAATAATAATGATAAACAATAATAAATAATAATATAAAATATATAGTGTAATAATACTCATTATAATTAATTTTTAATTCTAAGTTAATATAAATGAAAGAAACTATATAATAAAATAATAAATAATAATAATAAATAATAATAAGTAATAATATAAATTATATAATATAAATTATATAATGTAATAATATAAATTATATAATGTAATAATATAAATTATATAATGTAATAATACTTATTATAATTATATAATGTAATAATACTTATTATAATTAAACTTTAATTATAATTTAATATAAATGAAATAAACTATCTAATATAATAATTAATAAATAATAATAATGAATAATGATAAATAGTAATAAATAATGATAAATAATAATATAAATAATATGTAATAATACTTATAATTAAATTTTAATTCTAATTTAACATAAATGAAGTAAGCTATGTAATATATTAATAAAGAAGAATAAAGAATAATAATAAAATAAAATATATAATATAATAATACTTATTCTAATAAAATTTTACTTCTAATTTAATGTAAATAAACTGAACTCCTGTCCCCTTTCCTTCCAGCAAACCTCGTGATCAACGATTCCTTTATCCAGAAGTGGGAAGGCTCTCGGGGGTTCTTTGGCTTGAAGGAATACGCGGAGCACGTGGACGACCGAGACCTGGCGGTGAAGATCTTCATCGTGGAGAAATACAGGGAGCGGATCCCGGAGCTGGTGCAGAGGATCGAGAGATCCCACGTGTCCCAGGAATCCCTGGCGGGTAAATCCAGGGATAAAGGGGCAAATCCGGGTCTCCTTTCGGTCCTGAATCCAACTGATCCTGGAAAAAAGGGCTGAGTTTGGATCGAGTTGGACTTTTAGGGAGGTTGAACGGGAGCTTTAGGGCTGGATTCCCTCTGCTCTGGAGCCAGGCTGGGAGAGCTGGGAATGTTCCCCTGGAGAAGAGAAGGCTCCAGGGAGAGCTGAGAGCCCCTTGCAGGGCCTAAAGGGGCTCCAGGAGAGCTGGAGAGGGACTGGGGACAAGGGATGGAGGGACAGGACACAGGGAATGGCTTCCCACTGCCAGAGGGCAGGGATAGGTGGGATATTGGGAAGGAATTGCTGTCTGGGAGGGTGGGGAGGGGCTGGAATGGATTTCCCAGAGAAACTGTGGCTGCCCCTGGATCCCTGGAAGTGTCCAAGGGCAGGTTGGAGCAACCTGGGATAGTGGGAGGTGTCCCTGCCCATGGCAGGGGGTGGGATGGGATGGGCTTTAAGGTCCCTTCCAACCAAAAGCACTCTGGGATCCTGTGATTCCATGGAGTTGGAGGCAGGGATGGTTCCAGGCTGGATTTTGGTTTCTCAGCAGACAATTCCTGTGGGATGCTGCTCCCAGGGATTAAAGCAAAAAACTAAACTCCAGGAAAACCTTGGAGCCCCTTCCAGGACCTAAAGGGGCTCCAGGAGAGCTGGAGAGGGACTGGGGACAAGGCCTGGAAGGACAGGACACAGGGAATGGCTTCCCACTGCCAGAGGACAGGGATGGATGGGATATTAGGAAGGAATTCCTGCTGGGAGGGTGGGGAGGGGCTGGAATGGATTTCCCAGAGAAGCTGTGGCTGCCCCTGGATCCCTGGGAGTGTCCAAGGCCAGGTTGGAGCAACCTGGGTGGGTGGAAGGTGTCCCTGCCCATGGAACTGTACGGACTTTAAGGTCCCTTCAACCCAAACCATTCCATGGTTTTATGATTCCATGGATATTTCACTTGCCCTGACTGAAACGTGGGGAGGGGACACGAATCAATCAGGTAGGAAATTCCTCAAAGAACATTCCCATTTGGAAATCAGGGCTGACAAGTCCCTTCAACCCTTTAGGATTCCCCACAGAGGAGCTCCTGATTTATATTCGGGGGGGAAATTAAATTCATGGAGAATGAGATGAAATTCCAAACCGCTGTTTTTGTCACCATGTCTGATCTTTATTCCTTCTTTTTTTCCTTCCTGTGTTCCCACTTGTGCTGGATCCAGATTATCTCATAGGCACTGTCCACCAAGCCAAGGGCCTGGAATTCGACACGGTGCTGGTGGCCGATGATTTTGTGAAGGCCCCGTGTGGGAGCGACGCTTCCCAGAGGAGAACCAACCTGGCCATTGGTATGGGAACGGCCCCTGGGAAAGCAGGGAAGGGAAGGGAGCTGGGAAGGGGCTGGAGAACTCCTGAGGGAACTGGGGGGGCTCAGCCTGGAGAAAAGGGGGATCAGGGGGGACCTTCTGGCTCTGCAAGTCCCTGACAGGAGGGGGAAGCCAGGGGGGGTCGGGCTCTGCTCCCAGGGAACAAGGGACAGGAGGAGAGGGAACGGCCTCAGGCTGGGCCAGGGGAGGGTCAGGTTGGGGATGAGCAGGAATTTCTCCATGGAAAGGGTGGTCAGGCCTTGGAACAGCCTGGAATCCCCATCCCTGGAGGGGTTTAAAATCCCTGTGGATGTGGCACTTGGGGACATGGTCAGTGGTGGCCTCGGCAGAGCTGGGAATGCTTGGAATCAATGATCTTAAAGGTCTTTTCCAGCCTTAAGGATTCTGTAATTCCATGAATATTCCTGCAATTGTCACCATGTAGCAACAGGGAAAGACCAACTCCAGGCTTGGCAAGGCTGCTGCTTTCCTTAGGTTCCTGTTTTTTTGGAGGAGCTGGGCTCTCCCTGGGGAGCAGAGGGAATCCAGGCCCTGGGAAACTTCCATCGTGCTCCACAGGCAGGAAAACATGGAGCTGGGAGCAGCTCCCTGCCTGTGCCCGCAGGGAGGAATGTGGAATGAGGCAGGAGCTTGGATGGCGTCAGGACCCCCACAGCAAACAGGGGCTGCACATTCCCACTTTCCCAGAGAAACACTGGAATGCTTTGGGTTGGGAGGACCTTAAAGCCCGTCCCATCCCATCCCACCCTCTGCCGTGGGCAGGGAAAACCTCCCACTATCCTGGGTTGCTCCAAGCCTTGTCCAACCTGGACGAAGCGTTGGGAAGGAGGGCAGGGCTGTTCCTCCTTGCTCCCTGAATCCATGGATCGTGTCTGCTCCGTGCTAGGTGCAGTCCCAGAGGATGAGTGGAACCTGCTCTACGTCGCCGTGACCCGGGCAAAGAAGTGTCTCCTGCTCTCCAAATCCCTGGAACACCTCCTAGCCCTGGCTGGGGTGAGTGAAACCTTCCCAAGGCAGGAAAACCCCTTCAGTGGGGTTATTTAGGATACCTGCCCCTAAGGATTATCCCGCTGATCCCAAGTTTCAGGTGGATCTGTGCTGGCAGTACCCGAGGTCACGTTTTTCCCGTGTTTTGCTGCTCCATGCTGTGATTCCAGCAAGAAAACACGAGATTGCAGCAGTTTTTCCCCCACAGTTCTTGCATTTGGGTGTTGTTTTCCACAGATCCTGAGTTCCTCCCTCCGAGATTCCCTTTTCCCTGTTTGTGGGGCTGCCAACTCTTCCCTTATTTCCTTCCTCCTTTCCCGTTGGCTTCTCCTTGACTTTTTTTATCACCAGGAATTTGGGATTTTTTTTTTTTTTTTTTTTTTTTTAACTCATCCTGTTGCAAATCGTTTCCAAGGGGTTAAAAAAAAATCAGAGAACAACCTCTTCCAGCATCTCAGCTCCCTCTGAGGGGTGTTATTCCCATTTTCCCTTGTTTTTTAGGAGCGTTTCCTTCGGGTGGAGCTGATGAGTGAGGCTGCCAAGGCCGGAGCATCCTGCACTTGCTGCATGTCCAGATGCACAAACATGTTGGATCCCAGCTCCAGGCTGGTTGTGAGGAAGCTCCCGTTGACTCACGTACGTCTTTTCCCTGGGATTTTGGGATTGGGAGCCTCCAGTCCCTGTTCTGAGCCAGGATCTCACCCCCACAGCTCCCCATCCTTGTGGCTTCCCAGGGGGATTCCGGGTGGTGTTGCACTTCCCAGGGATCCATTTAGTTCCCAGATTTCTCATCTGAGGCTTTTTGTGGTCTCAGGTGGAGCCAGTTTGGGGGTTTAGTTGTGTCAGATCCCACACCTGAGTCTTGGAGCCTCTGCTGAGCCCATGGAGCATCCCATGGGATTGGCAGAGCATCCCTCTCCTCAGGGACAGTCGGATTTTGGGGTCCAGGTTTGCCTTTGATCCCACTCTCTGACTCTGAGGTGGAACCTTATCCAGAGGGTACCATGAAGGCCAAGCTCTGGAGTGACCACATGGAAAAATCTGGGAAGCTCCATGTCCAGGACAGGGGACAACAGATGGCTCTGATCCATCCACAGGGACACGAGGGTGGGACAGGAGGGAATGGCCTCAATCTGTGCCAGGGGACGCGTAGGTGGGATACTGGGGAAAATTCCTACATGGAAAGGGTTGTCCAGTGGTGGATTCCCCATCTCTGGAGGGATTTAACAGCGACGTAGATGTGGCACTTTGGGGACATGGATTAGTGGTGGCCTTGGAAGTGCTGGGGAATGTTGGACTCGATCTCAGAGAGATCTTTCCAACCTAAACGATTCCATGACTCCATCAGGGATTTCCATGCTTTGGGCACATCACCATTCCCTTCCCTGGGCGGGAGGGACTCGTGGCCGAGGTTGGAAGCCGAGTTGGTGTCCCTGCAGCTCCCTCTTCCCTGAAATTCCCATCTCTCCCTCCCGCAGAGCAACGGCAGCCGCGATCCTGGGGGATTCCTGTGCCAGCCTTGCACCCGGCAGCACTTCGGCTCCCTGGCTCCACTCACGTCCTTCCCAGCGCTCCAGGAACAGCCCTGCCAGCTCTAGGGAAGCCCTCCCAGCTTCCCAAAGCCCGTTGGCACATCCCAGCTCAGGAATCGGGTGGATATTGGAGCGGGGTTTGGGTGGATATTGGAACGGGATTCCAGCCCAGCTTCGGAGGAAACCCGTAGGCTCTGGGAGACCTTCCCTGCAGCCCTGCCTTGCCTTCCAGGAGCTGGGAAGCAGAATATTCCAAAGAACATGCACTTTAAGAACTGGATCAGCGTTAATTTTGGAGCATTATCCCTGTTACCTCCTGGATATCCCTCCCTCCTCCCTGACGTCAGCGCTCGGTGAAATCCCTCTGATCCGCTGGAAGAAGAGGAACCCTGGAAAGCTCCCAAAGGAACAGGCTATTTCTGGGAAATGGACTTTTCCTGGCCAGCAATGGGAGGAAATCATTAATCCCTCCCAGGGAATGAATTCCCCCTGCTGGCAGCCAAGGGCTTTCCCAGACTTGCTTCCCTTTCCCCAGGACCAAACCGTGAGGGAAGAACGGCTTTGGTTTGACCCGGAGACAAGCTGGAGAGAGTTTTGAATCCTAAAACTCCATTTATAACCAAAAAAAAAAAAAAAGCCTTAAAACTTCCTTGTTTTCCTCTTCTTTAAGAAGTGCTTTGGCTGCATTGAATTCCAGCTCTTGGGAAAATCCTGGTGGATCGTGCTCCGTTGTGCCGCAATTCCAGAGCCTGTGCCATGGAAGAGTGAAACCGAAAGTGGTTCTGGAAGGGATCTGCCCTTGGATCCAGGCCCGGAGCTGGAGGAGCCTCATGCATCCTGTTATTCCCGTGGGAGCTGGTAGAAGGGTTTGACTCCAGGAGTGCAGTCCCTGCTCCGCTCACCCTGGGAGCAGGAATTCCCACTTGGATTGGGACGTGGATGTCGGAGCAGGAACCTCTGGTGCTCCCTCCCGGCTGTTTTCTGACTGTCCCATGGGAGAAAGGCACTTCCAGCTTCTATGGCTGGAGGGTTTGGACTGTCACACATCCACGGTGCTGATTCCCTCCCCACAAACAGCAGGACAAGGCACAGCAGCCGGGAAAGAACATGGAATTTTGGGCTGTTGATGGGAATTCCGGTGCCTGACGAGCCCTCGGTGCTGCAGAGATGGATTTCATGGATTTCATCCCGATCCAATCCTTCCCTATCCTGGCTGAGACACCCCAATGAGTTCAACAATCAAGTGCTCTGTGTGATTTTATATAAAATATATATATTTATACATAAAAAAAGGCACCAGAGCTACCTGTCCTGAAATAAAGGAAAACAATGGATAAAAACCACCGACGGATGAAGGAAAACCACAGCCAGGGAAATATTCCCTAAGTCGTGTCCTGGAAATATTTTTCCTTGGAATATTTCCTAGGTTTGGTCTTTTGAGAAGTGTCTGTAGTGAAATTGCTCCGGGTTGGGATCCCTGGGAGCAGCCAGAGCCAGGGGGGATCAGGAATCCGGAGCCTGGATCGGTGCTGGAAGTGCTTCCAAAGGATCCCTGAGCTGCGTCCGAGGGCGGAATGGGGCCGGAATCTTTGGCTGGAAAAGAGCAGGAAAGGGGTGAGGATGTGTGGAGGGACCTTTGGATGGGTCCCTCTCCACCTGATTCCTGGGATCTCAGGGAATTTGGGGGCAAAGCCGCTCTAGGGATGGGGTTGGTGTCTGGTTGGGCAACTCTGGATGTGCTGCTGGATAGGGAATGGGCACTGCTTGGAGCAGGGAAGATCGGCTTCATCCCAAACATCCCCAAACACCCCCATCCTGGCATCCCAAAGGCCCAAATCCTGGCATCTCAAATCCCAGCATCCCAAACATCCAAATGCCATCATCCCAAACACCCACATCCCAGCATCCCAAACACCAACATCACGGCATCCCAAATGCCCAAATCCGTAATACCCAACTCCCAGCATCCCAAACAGCCAAATCCAGCATCCCAAACAGCCAAATCCAGCATCCCAAACACCAAAATCCCAGCATCCCAAACACCAAAATCCCAGCATCCCAAACGCCCAAATCCCAAACACCCCAATCCCGGCATACCAAATGCCCAAATCCCATTATCTCAAACACCTCAATCCCGGCATCCCTAACACTCAAATCCCAGCTCCCAAGCACAAAATCCCGGCATCACAAACCCCATTATCCCAAACACTCCAGTCCTGGCATCCCCAATACCCAAATCCCAACATTCCCAATACCCAACATTCCCAACACCCAAATCCCAGCATCCCCCCCCCCCCCCCTTGGATACAGCCCCCCCCCCCATCCTGCTCCCTGCCAACCCTCACCATCCACAGGGGGCCAATTCCTCCAAATCCTTGCTCCCGATCCCAGAAAACCCCCTCACCCATGGGACCTGGAGCCGTGCCATCCATGGGAATCACTGGTTCAGGCTGGGAAGAGCAGCCACGCGTCCCTTGGGATGAGGCTGCTCCGCGTGGAGCCCGGGATGTGCCACCGCTCAGGGGAGCCTCCAGCTTCCCGTGGGATCCTGGAGCATCCTTGGGGCTGGCGGGCGCACCGAGTTTCCCGGCTGTGGGCGCTCATCCCGTGGGAACCATCCCGGGAGGTGCCACCTCCTCATTCCCGGGAGTGGGAGCCGCCATGGGAATGTCCCCGGGTGTCACGTCGTAGCCCTGCCCTGGGCGCCTGTGGAAGGGAGGAGGAGCATCCCCGGCATTCCAAGGCCTTTCCTCAGCTCTCAGGGAAGCACAGAGGCCGAGGAAAACTCGTCCCTGGGGTGGGAAGACCTCGTGGGGTTGGGAATACTTACTTTTTCCTCCTCCTGCAGCAGCAGAAGGAGGCCACAATTCCGGTGACCAGGAGCGCCGGGAACCCTGTGGAAAAGCCACAGGGATGGATGAGCGTCTTCCAGCTCATGGATGAGGGCACAGCCTGGTTCCAAACAAAACAGCTCCACAAAGAGCCATAAAAACCTTGGACGCAGTCCCAAGGCGCCCTCCCCACCCTGGCAGGGAAAAAACTTGGAATTCTCCTTTCCAGGGAGAAGTTTGGGTGCTGCCTCCTTCCCACCTCCGTGACATTCCCAGGGAATAAAAGCTCTCATGGCCCTGAGGGCTTGGAAGCTTAAAAAATATGGAAAATGAGCCCCTACTTCCCAAAACAAGCTCGTCTTACCGATGGAATAGGCCAAGGTCTGGCTGGAAGCTGGAAAAGAAGGGAGAAAGCTTTTTTTTTTTTAGCTGGAAAAGTCGGGATAGTGGGAAGAGCGTCGCTAAGGAGTTTTGGGGAGAAAGAAAAAAAAAAATCCACTGGGAAAAGAAAAAGAGCTTTTTTCCTGGATGGAATTATCCCCGGGAGAGGGGGGTTATATTCCCGTGGGAAGCATCCCAACCTGTGGCATTGTCCAAGGGGGCGTTGGGCAGCGGGGTTGTCCCCTCTCCCAGTGTGGATGGATCCGGTGGTGTCCCGTCAGCTCCGGGCTTTCCCGCCGGAGAAGGGCTGGAAGTGGGGCTGGTTCCTGCAGGGAAAAGGGTGTAAAATTCCCTTTCCAATTCCAAAATTTGAAAAGGCGGCTTTGTGGCGCCGGCACGACGCCCCAAATCCAGCAGCTCCCAAAGCGGTGCCATTCCACGGGATTTCCTGGATTCGGCCGCGCCATTGGAATATTTCACTTCCCGCACCGCAGGGGTGGGCTTGTGGCCCCCAAGAATCCCAAAATTTTTGAGTTGCTCACCCCTCTGGGTGGTGCTCTCCGTGCCCGGCTCCGTCGGGATCGCGGGGATGGGGGTTTGTGGAGGAGGAGCCGCCGGGTCTCCTGTGGGAAAACACCGCCAAGAAAACAGGGAATAAACCCTCCGACCCCGGGTTGTTGGGATGGGAAAGGGACATCATCCAACACAATGGACTGGGGGGTCACTCCACAAAAACATCCCTCAGTTATCCAAACTTTTAACTGTTTTTAGGAATTAGTGTTGATTGGTCCGTCAGTTCATTAATTAATATTCCATCCTCTGTTGGTTACTAATTCTCACTCTAATTAATTCTAATTAATTAATTCCAGTTAATCCCCGTTTTCAGTCTTTTTAACATCTTTTTTTTTTCCTCAGATGGATCTTTTTTTTCCCATCTTTTTTCCCCCCGGCTCCGGGAGCGCCGAATCCGGCGAGCCCTAAGCTTTGGATTTGCTTTCCCAACCCCTGGAGCGCGTCCGTCATCCATTACTTATTCCAGGGATTAAATCTCCTCCCAAAATTCTGAACGGGGAATACAACCCCTCCCCACATCCCTCAGCGGTGGAATTCCCACTCCCCAGTTCCCGATTCCCACGGGGAGCTCACGGATGCACTGGAGCGTGGGGTCGGTCCAGCCGGGCCGGGCGGATCCATCCCGGAGGACGCACTGGATGAGGTTGGAAGTCCCGGCTTTCCGCTTGTATCCCGGGTCGCAGGAATAGCGCAGCAGGGAGTGGAGCCCCGTGTTGTTCCCCACCTCGATGTGGGCGTTGGCCACGGCCTTGGGGCGGCTGCATCGCGCTGGAGAGGGATGGAAAACACATGGAATCGCAACCGGGACACCGGGAGACCGCTGGGAATGTCCCTGGAAGTGTCCGAGGCCAGGCTGGAAGAACCTGGGATAGCGGAAGGTATCCCTGCCCACGGCTGGAGCTGGATGGGCTTTATGGTCCCTTCCAACCCAAACCACCTCGTGATTCCAGGAAATCCTGGCTAGGGGTGGATGTAGGGATTGGATGCTGCTGTGGAGCTGGGAGAGCCTCATCCAACCTCCAGAAATAATCTGGGATGTCTGTGTCTGTGCACAGGAATTGGAAAGGGAAAACTATCCCTGGCATCCTTGTGGTCACTTGGAGCAGTTCCTCCTGGGAATGGAGAAAGGGAAAACTCGATTTCCAGCATCTCTGTGGTCACTTGGAGCATATCCAGGGAATGGGAAAAGGAAAACTGTATTTTCAGCATGTTTGTGGTCACTTGGAGCAGCTCCTTCAAGGATTGGGAAAGGGAAAACTCAATTTCCAGCATCCTTGTGGTCACTTGGAGCATCTCCAGGGAATGGGAAAGGGAAAACTCTATTTTTGGAATCTCTTTGGTCACTTGGAGCAGCTCCTCCATCCATCAAAGACTGTTTGTGGAATTCCATCCCCTTTCAGTCATTCCATCCCCGTTCCAGACCATTCCAGGACAGCAGCCCCGGCTCCATCCGGCCACCAGCTGCTGCATTTCCCCACCCCCTCCTTCCTCCCTTCACTTTCCAGCTGGACATGAAAAAATTCCGTATGCTACATGAGTCCTCCAGCCCATTCCCGGGGGTTTTCCCCCCCTCTGGAGGCTGCAGCTGGGATCCAACATCCTGGGATTGTGAGTTATGGCTTTGCTTTTCCCCTTCGGCCTCATCTTGGGGCCGATTTCCCAATGGGGTGTTAAAGTCTCGCCCCTTTCCTGGTTTCTCCAAGGTTATGCCAGCACCAGGATCCCTGCTGGAGCGTGGGAATGGCTCATCCGTGACCCCAGCTGCTGGAAGCGCCTGTATCCCGATGGGAGCCAGCACGGAGAGGTGATGATCCAGTGCTGGGATGGAGAGAGGTGCAGCGGGGATAACACAGAGTAGGGCCGGGATGGAGGGGTCACGGCTGGGATGGAGAGAGGGATGGCTGGGATGAGGTGAGGGATGGCTGGGATGAGGTGATGGATGGCTGGGATGAGGTGAGGGATGGCTGGGATGGAGCAAGGGATGTCCAGGATGGAGAGATGGATGGCCGGGATGGAGTGATGGATAGCTGGGATGGAGCTATGGATGTCCAGGATGGGGAGATGGATGGCTGGGATGGAAAGAGGGATGGCTGGGAGGAAGAGATGGATGGCTGGGATGGAGCGATGGATGGCTGGGATGGAGCCATGG